CCAGCTGCGCACGGTTGCTGAGGTAGCTGTCAAACCATTTAATTGTTGGTATGTCAAAACCGTAGTACGCCATTTTCGAAAGCAATAGAGACAAATTAATAGCATCAAATGCCCTCGAAAAGTCCAGAAGGACCAATATAGTGCACATACCCTCATCCTGCGCAGCCAGTATATTGTCGGTGACGTCCAACAAAGCTGTGGCCGTACTACGCCCCCTCCGGAAACCAGACTGCGCATCCGGCAGAACGCCGCTGTCCTCTATAAACTTGGTAACCTGCTCGTTTACGACCCTTTCCAAGACCTTAGACATTAAGGGTAAAATGCTAATAGGCCTTAACTCTTTAAGATCGCTAGGATTATTTACCTTGGGTAGAGGACGCACTTTTGCTAACTTCCAGGCGCCCGGAAAAGTCGCCGTTACTATGGAGGCATTAATAATACGCGTCAGGACATTCAAGGTTTGTGGTATTGTTAAAATAAACATATTCAGTGATATCTGATCACAACCTTCGGCATTAGATTTTAGGCTGGTTATCAACCTAAAAATTTTCATGTCATCAGTTGTATTAAGAGAGAGGACGCAATCAGAAAACCTATGAAATTCATAGTACGTGTAAAACGACAGGGAAGTAATAGTATCGCCGGGAACATTCAAAAAATGATTATTTATTTTGCTTGGATCATTAAGATGTGCGGGTAATTCAATATCACACTTTCGAGGCAGCAAGGTGGATTTTAAATTCTTCCAAAGCATTTTTGGATGTTTGATGTTGTTGTTAATATTTGATTTGAAGTAGGCTACTTTTTCAAGGTAGATTGATTTAGTAACTAGACTCTTTAGATCCATGTAATATTGTTTTTTGTGGGTTAATGTGTTATTATTTCGGAATTCCATAAGGGCTTTGTCGCGAAGTTTCATCATAAATTTTATGTTCTCTGTAATCCACGGATAGGATCTTTCCCTCACCCTAACACTCCTGCGAGGCGCAAATGTGTCAAACAAACACAATAAATTGTTTGTCAGACAGTACACCATATAGTCCACGTCATGAGAAGAAATCACCCCACGCCAGTCGATCGCGTCCAGAGCCTCTTTGAAAATTTCTAAGTTAATGTTTTTAATGTCCCTATAAGTTACAACTCGAGGCTGGATTTTTTCTCTTTTTATACGAAGAGTGGTCGTAATAAATGCATGAGCACCGAGAGCTTGTATTGGGTACACATTGACATCGGTAACTCTTGCGTCTGTACACACCAGGTCTATAAGGGTCGAGTTGTTGGTCGAGAAATGTGTAGGCGATGTTACTAATTGATTAAGGCTCAGACAATTTAAAAAAATATGTAATTTGTTTAATTTGCTGTCAGGTAGTGAGGTGTTTATGAAATTTATATTAAAATCGCCCAATAATACAGTATAGTCGCAGAATGTTAACGAATTTACAGACATGGTCAGTGCGTCCAGAAACGTGTCCACATCTAACCACGGCGGTCGATAGGCGGTCCCTATAGCAAGCCTAACACCGTTTATGGTACACACGAGCCACATCTGTTCGACCGACGTATGTGTAGGGTCAGTAGGGTGGGAATGCGCACGAACGCTAATTCCGCATTTTATATAAAATCCGACACCACCGCCACGGCCGCCGCGCACGCTCATCGGACGCGGCACATGCCGTAGCCGGTAGCCGGGAACCGACGGCGCGCGCGCCTCCTCCCCCGCCTTGAGCCATGTCTCATTTACCGCCATAATGTCAACATCATGACGATCCACTGCGGCTATAAACTCGTCATGATTTGTACCCAACGACCCGGCGTTAAGAAATCCAACTTTAAACTCTTTCGGGGTCATTTTATAAAATAGATTAAAAATAAACTAAAACAATAATATTTCTTCCCTGCGAGAGTATCGAGATTAATTATAAAATAGATTGTTATTAAGATATAGCCATTACATAAAGTTTTACAAAAAATATATGAGTAAAGAAAGATAGAAACATTGTGTAACAAGATTACAAGCATATATGCATATATATATAAATACCCGATAATAAGTATTGTCGCATAAGACTGGATACAACACTTACCGTCACTGCAAGGAATACCAACCTTAGCCCATACATACATCGCCGTGTTTACCAATTGGGAACATGACGTAGGAGAAAAATTAATACAAAATAATTGTAACATAACACATATCGCAAGGTCATCAACAAGATGCAGGGTACATAACAAAAAAACTAAAACAAAATAATATACACAAACCGAACAGAATTTTTTATTTCTACCCACATTCATCAAACATGGCCGTCGCCAAAAGTTTTCCTAATATCTGCGTGCGAGCGAATACGCACGGCAGATACACCGTCCTCTTTCCGCACGTAGATGCGACCCTCTCTTGTCCACACGTACTTGAAGTTTGAACGCTGTCCAGCCTCTCGAGCTAAATAAAATAGTTTCGCGTTAGATCGAGTCAGGTGCTCATTTACAAACACCCTCTGAGGCTGGCCGTGTAGCTTGAGGTCCGCAGTGGTGAGGCCGCGGCGCACGCGCGCCGCTTGAATCAGTTCGTCTCGCACCGTGCGGCGACACAGACGCACGGCGATGGCGCGTGGCCGCGGACGCTCCGCTACGTCGTGCTGGGATGAATCGGAGACAAAGTTACGACGCACCATGCCCAGGCGCTCGACGTTCACTATGTCCCTATCGTCGAGGTCAACCCCGAGCTTCAGTGACACAGTTTTAATTATATGAGCCGGGTTCTCGGCCTTCGACTCCGGTATACCCGACACGATGACGTCATTCAACAGGAGGTCCTGATCGCGCTCGTTTAGTTGAAGTTTTAAATGCGCGATCGTCTCCTCCAGGTGGTCGTACGATGATGGGTCCCTTGCTTCAAACCGTTGTTCGAGGTTATCCACCCTGTGCACCACCGCATCAAGCCGCTCATTGCACCCGCTTATAGCAGCCCTAAAATATGCATTCTCCTGCCGCAGCTCACGTATATCAGCCCTGAGAGCGCTTAATTCTTCCCTAAATGCTCTCATTTCCAGCGCCAAATCCAGACTCACGGGGGGGGAGACGGTGGGGGGTCTATTTGGCTCCGAGTAGTCCGCTGCTGCACCTTTGACCGGTGTTGCAGAGTTATCAGTCTTGGGAAGTTTCGCCTTGCATCCAGGACACAGCCAAGTCGGCGAAGGGGTTGCTGTAGGCGGTACACCCACACAGGCGCGGTGGTAGCAGCCCGCGCACTTGCTACACCGAATGCTTGCTGACGCAGCAATAAACTGACCACATCCGCCGCACTTGGCCATGACTATGTTTATTGCAGATAGTGACAACACAAACGCACAACACTCGAAACAGAATATCAGTTTTTTTTTTTTTGTTTTTTGTGGTAGGGTAGATTTGGTGGCCGTGACACTGGGGCTGGTTCAAAAGTTATAATTTAGAACGTTTATAATAATCCACTGATATTATCCATAATATATGTTACAAGTTGACTATTTATAAACTCTCTGCGAACACAAGATATTAAATAAACACTGTGGTTTTATTTTATTCGATCCGAGGCGACACAACAAGTCAGCTGTTACCGGCGTCCGTGACGTCACTCCTTACCGGCGTCCGTGACGTCACTCCTATGTAGTGATATAAATTTTATGTTTGTACCTATAACTTTTTTTTTGGTCTATGACATACTGCGTATGAGTCAACAAAATCAGTTGAGGAATGTTCATGTTACTAAATTTGAATAAAAACTTTTTTTATAAAATCCCGTGTCTCTGAAACGCTGCGAAGAATTGAAACTCAAAATTTCACTTCATAATGAGTTTATTAACATTATTATGTACATAAGTCGTTAAGATATGTATTCACAAACTATTATTATTAATATTAATTCATTACGTAATCATTATTTTTTATTATTATTATCAAATTAGTTACTTAGACTTATACAAAATTATGACATTTAAAATTAAATCAGAACATTCGATTTTTAATGGCCAAAAAGTCTACTAAAGGCGTAATTATTTTAATGTGGCTATTTTAACGTACATAGTTCGATCTATTGTTTATTTGCAGAAATAACAAAGTAGGTTGTTCGGAATTAAAAAAACGATTTCGATCTAAACTTTTTGGATTACGATTGAGCTAATTAAATACAGAGGCGTATTATCCATACAGTAAACTAGACGGTGCTTAGGGCGCCAGGTTGCGGAAGAGTGCCAGGTTGTGTAAGGGCGCCAGGTTGTGGAAGGGCGTCAAGATGTGGAAGGGCGCCAGATTGTTTAAGGGCGCCAGATTGTTTAAGGGCGCCAGATTGTGGAAGGGCGCCAGCCTGTGGGTGGGCTCCAGATCATAGTTGGGTGCCAGATTGTAGGTAGGCGCCTGATTGTGGGTTGGCGCCAGATTGTGGGTGGGCGCCAGGTTGTGGGAGGGCGCCCGGGTCCAAAAAGCGCCTGCGATATACTTGCTTAGGGCGCTCACTAAACTTTATCCGTCTCTGAGCGATTGGCAAAAATGTACATCCAATCCAAACAATTTGATTTAATTTCGGTCATAATTCAAAATTATTCCGTGTTCGTATTTACATAATTATTATATTTTGCTAAAAGTCTTATTACATAAAATGCAACTATTTGTATTCATTTCCTTACAAATTAATAAATGCAATGAAACTCACGATCTACCTACATTTGAAATTCGAAAACAATAGAATTTTAAGGAAACAATTAAAATATACCCTATTTCTTTATTACTAAAGTATGATTTTCTTTATTAAATAAACTAAAGAAATGCAGAGAAAAATAAAAAACAATTTTAAATGCGCTGTGGAATATGTATGGTCGCGTAAAGTGTTGGAAACAGTTTAAAATGTACTTTATAACTTTATTCTTTAGGTATGATTTTAATTAAACCAAAGAATCGAAATATCTATTCCACACCAAGACACTTTCATAGCTGTGATTTAAAAAAGATTTTTATTAAATCAATTCTTATAAAGTACAGATAATTCCTGTTATTGGAAATTTTACAACTTATAAAGCGTTTATACGAATATAAAGTCGGGATTGGTGCAGCAATCGCTTCTTTTGTCAGGGTTCTGGGCCGCTTTCACCCATTTTCCGTGGCAGTGGGGTGCTACTAGGGCGTAGAAGCGGGTCGCGTGGCCGGGTACGCCATGCCCACTGCAGCGCCATTTTAAATCTCGTCGTAGAGCTGCTGTCTCACAGAGTACGCAAACCGTCGCTCCTGGAGAAAGAAATCAAATTTTAGATGACATATGGAAAAAGGGGAAATAGGTAATTTAGGTACATATGCTTATCCAGATCGTTAGTAATATACCACCCTTCATACATATATACGTAGGTAAAAGATAATTTTATTTTTCATATTATTGTAATGATGAAAATTGAAAACATTTAGAAGGTCTGAAAATCAAGTGAATTATGAAATCACAGGCCCATAACAGTAGTTCAGCCATACCAAAGCGGTTTGAGTTACAAATTAGAATCATCAGCCAGACAATCGGTAACTTTGCTTAGAGAAAATGTCAAATCATGCAAAGACGATTTTAGTTTTCATTATACCAATCCTTTAGAGATAATAAAGGTTTTTAAAGAAATCAAGATCAAATCAACTGAGGACCTTTGGGGACTATCGGTGAAAGTATGCGGATCACTTATCCGAACTTTAGCGCCGTATCTGGCTTTGATTTTCAATAAAAGTATAGATGACGGTGTCTTCCCGAACCTAATGAAATACAGTAAAGTTATTCCATTATTCAAAAATGGTGACACTAAAGAACCAAACAACTATAGGCCTGTGTCTGTTCTACCGGTTCTTAGCAAAGTGTTTGAAAAGTTAATGCTATCTCGGATGCTTCATCACTTTGATAAACATGCCATCTTCCATCACCAACAATACGGTTTCACTAAAGGTCGTTGTACAACAGACGCCGGTGTCACACCGGTGATAAAGGAGGTATTCGGTGCTTGGGAGGAAGCACAGGATGCTGTTGGTGTCTTTTGCGACCTCTCAAAGGCGTTCGATTGCGTTGATCATGAAACACTCTTGCTGAAATTAGATCATTACGGGATTAGACATACTGCACTCCGTCTACTAAAGTCATATTTAGAGGATAGGCAGCTGAGAGTTCATGTAGGTGGTTCTAACTCACGGGGCTCTGAGATAAGAATTGGCGTACCGCAAGGTTCAATTTTGGGTCCGTTTCTCTTCTTAGTGTATGTTAATGACTTGCCATTTCTATTTAAAACCGAGCCAAGAATGGTGTTGTTTGCAGATGATACATCATTAATTTTTAGAATAGGTCGAGTGTTAATAATTTTGACGAAGTAAACAGATCCATTCATCAAGTTCATAATTGGTTTACAGTCAATAATTTAGCACTTAACGAGAAAAAAACAAAATGTATTAAATTTAGCTTGCCCAACGTACACAGTAATGATTGTGATATAATTGGGACATAATTGACGTAAAAAAATGGGCAAAAGTTAGAATTTGTTAACGAGACTATGTTCCTAGGTATTACGCTAGACAATAAACTTCAATGGGGTTCCCACATAAAGACGCTTTCGGGAAGACTGAGCTCAGCTGTTTTTGCAGTTAGTTTGCAGCACAGACGTGAACACAGCAAGGCTTGTTTATTTTAGCTATTTTCACAGCATTATGTCGTACGGAATTTTGCTGTGGGGTCGAGCTGCGGAAGTAGATTCAATATTTATTCTGCAAAAGCGGGCTATCCGAGCGATATACAACTTGCCCCCTCGTGAATCTCTGAGAGAACTATTTAAAACGATAAATATCCTAACGGTACCTTGTCAGTTTATATATGAAAACATTATGTACGTAAGGAAAAATTTGCAATTATTTGAAAAAAGAAGCGATAGACATAATCTTAATACAAGAGGCAAAGATAGGCTGGCTGTGCCACGATTCCGTCTTTCCAAAGTACAGAAATCCTTTATGGGGTTCTGTGTAAATTGTTACAATAAAATTCCAAAAAGTGTATTAAATCTTAATGAACGAAAATTTAAAACTTATATTAAACGCGAATTATGTAGACAGGCATACTACAAACTTTCAGATTATATTGAGGACAAGAATGCCTGGCAGCATGTTGGTTCGGCTCCACTGGACAATACTCAAATATGTAGTCAGTAGTTATTGAAATTCTCAAAATTAATGAAACCTTGAATGAGTTTATATAGAAGCATTCTTTTGGATTGTGAGTACGCATATGTGAGCGCCATGTTCGAGACAACAAAGGATTAAAATTTTTGATAGACCATCATTTGTTCCTTTTTATTAACAACTTGTCTCTGCATTGTTCTCACATAGGCGTACAGTAATGTATAAAATGTATTACTGGTGAATTGTAAAACAAATATTTTTTTTAAAACAGTAACGATGGAGTTTCTTGCTCGTTCTTCTCCATTCGAAACTACAATTTGGAACGAGCACCTAGCTTCAGTGACGAACAGACTGACAGACTACTATTCTATTTTGACGTTTCAAAAGTACCTATTTATGGTTTAGTTGGAATAAATGATTTTGATTTGATTTGATTTGAAATAATTTAAACCTGAAATTTTTTTTACGGGCTAATTTTACAGCTAACTACAATCATCCCTCAAAAAGAGAGGGAAATCATCAATTAACATGTAGGTGCTTTATTTTTCAGGACAAAATCCTGAAATGACTTCTCTATATCTAGACCTAGGTGTGGCGAGAAAATCTATTCGATGATTTTCGCCTTTCAAAAAAAGTCAGCGATTTAGCGGCACAATTTGGTAATTGATCATTTCTAATAGCTTTTTGAATTTTGTGCATTTGGCATAGAAGTCTCTTTTTGTTTTCGAAAGAAATTCAGCGATTTAATTGAATGGCTAGTTATTAAAGGCGGCAAATAAATGGTTATTAAGCAATGTAATTAGTTGCGAGATAAACAAAAAATATTTTATTACTGAATAATGTAAAACTAGTTTAAAGTCTCTATAGAATCGCTCAAAGCTGTTAGTAATTCAAAAATACTTGTAAAAAGAAAGCTATAGGACTCGTATTTATGCAACTTATTGCAATTTGGCTGGCCCAATCCTTCCCCTCCCCCAATCCCTCCTCAATCCCTAAATCTCCAAATCCCTAATCCCTTATCCCTAAAAGGTCGGCAACGCACTCGTAACTCCTCCGTTGCGAGTGTCCATGGGCGGCGCTGATTGCTTACCATCAGGTAATCCGTCTGCTCGTTTGCCGACTTATTACATAAAAAAAAATTCTTTGGCCTGAGAAAACTATTTATTAATTCAATAGTGTAACATCAAAGTGCACTCAGGAAATAAAACTTTACAACCTTTATAAAAGAATCAAAGGAAATACTAAGATTGGTTTCCTTTCTAGAAATAAATATTTACATTGAAAAACGTACCTTCTCTTAACGCCTTGTAGTCGGAGTCCGTGTGGCAGGCCTTGGACACCTTGGTGACCTCGAACTGAGCGCAGTATCTGGACAGAAGATTGAGAAAAATGAAACTTAAGTGTAGAGAGTAAAATTTATTTTTACGTGTCTCTGTATTCTTGATTGGGTTTTAGACTTGAAAGTTTTTTTTGTTTAGTTGTTCAGATTTTCGACTCGTAGTTTTTGACCAATAAAATAACGAATAGTACCTATGTTATTATTGGAAATAGTTAAAATGTGAGTAGTATGTTAATATTGTAAAATGTCGTGGCGACCCAGAGGTTAAGGAGCCCGCTTCTCATGCATGAGGGTGTGGGTAAACGTGGTAAGTATCAATGTGACCTTTTCCGAATTCTTTGTATTTTCTATGATTATTTAGACACCACTGACATACGGTGAAGGTAAACATCGTGAGGAAACCTGGACTTATAATTTCTTATTATAAGTTTGAAATCGCCAACCCGCATTGAGCAAGCGTGGTGATTAATGCTCTAACCTTATCCGTATGAGAAGAGGTCTTTGCTCAGCAGTAAGCACTTATAGGCTGATGATGATGATTGGAAATCGATTTAATTTTTTACGTATTGAGACTTTGTTGTTAATTTTATTAACCGTTAATTTATATTTAATTACTGGCAGCCTATCTCTGGTCGGCACAGGCGCCCAATTACAACAGTGTCAGTAATTTCCCGATTATCTCCTCTACTTTTCTATCCTACTCCACCCTACTTCACCATTTTTTCGAGCCGGACCCTAAACGCCGTACGCTCTGGTTTGGTTCTGGTTTGACGGCGAGCTACCCATGGTCGCCGATCGCAAACCCGCAGACAAAAGGTACTAAGGCACTACCTTTTTATTAAATAACTTCTCGAGATTTCCATTTATATTATAAAAATATATAGACTTGTGAAACAATGAATTTATTTTTGCAAATGGGCCATAAAACGGCCCTTTTACATGTCACATTTTATGTGGTAGCAACTAATAAACTCTTAGTATCAAGTGGGTATTACAGTCTTTGCACAAACATCCTTTTTAAAACGGGCTTTAAAAGCCACACAACTGCATAACTGAACATAGCAGTAGCCGCACATTACAAATGCATCCAGATCAATGGTCCATACAGTTGGCACTGCTTGGAGTTTCTAATTTCCTGTATTCATGTCAACAGCTCAGACGTATCGATTACCAAGTCCAGGCTATGTTGACCTCTGCATTGTTTTACCGCACATGTTTTCCAGTTTGGTTTGAATGTTTTGGACCAAACCACTACAGAATGAACTCGCACGATTCTTGCTCATTATATTTTACATTGTCTGGACTTTAAAAAAGACTGACTTCTGCATTTCGCCATTTCCTCTCAGAGTTGTAAGATAGGGTATCTAGACTCCTTTAATATAACATCGACAACGTAAAAATGCTATTTTATGGTCTGTTTCTGTCTTCTGTCTCTCATAAATTTGATACTTATAAAATAGTCCAGATTTCCTAACGATGTTTTCCTTTACCATGTGTTTGTAATAATGAAACTCACATTGGTTGCCTGATCGCATCCTTATGAAAACAGGATGTCTTAAGTTTTGGGCCACCACTACCTACGCTTTATACATAGTCTGGCCATAAATACTGTTACAATTAAAAATAAACAATATTTATACATTTGAATTGGGAATCTGTCATTTTTATATATGTAGGGCGAGGATGGCCTTCATCAGAACTCATCTTGTGTGATGTATGTAGGTAGTTGGCAAAATCACAAGTCCTTATTATAATCACAGTTATTTAATCAGCACAGGGTTTAATAATTGAAGTACACAGTCTAATGATCAATTTATAGTCCAGTCAACGCGATACTAACTTAAACATTAAATTTAATTACGAATGAAATTCAAAGCGATTCGTCGTAAGCGTGGTGAGCGGGCGCCGACTCGAAAAACAACCGTCTCAAGATGGCCGCCATCACAACCATCGACAATGACGCTTCGCTAGGCTGACTTTTAACAGCTTAAAAATCAACCTGACCTCTAACGTTGACGGATGCGCCGTCACGGCCGGACTGACATTCGACCGTCCTCGGGCGATTCTCTGAAACAATGAGTTGCAGTCGTACACAGTCCGTTCGGCATCCTGACGGACGACTAATTAGAATTATCACAATGCGCTATGATACTTAAGACTTAAGGCGAGTGTCTCGAAACAATTAAGCTGGATGACACAGCCTCGTCACTAAACAGCATGTAGGTTAACTGTTCACAATTGGTACTATTACATGAGTCAATCCTTTGGTGGATGTGACCTGGACGACAATATTCGTCTTACCAATCTGCAAAACATCCAGAACAAGTCAGCCAACTTAAAGGGTTCTGACTCGGACGACATGTTTCGTCTCATAGAACAAATGCACAGAGACAAGTCAATCTAATACTGACTCGGACGACATAGTTCGTCTGACTATTTGGCAGGAAAGAGATTCTTACAGGTCACTCCACTTACCTACGATTATGAATCATCCTGTTCTGTGTGAATTTCAGCTTCGTGCGACACTTCCCAAGTCTCAGGATCTGAGTATGTACTGAGAGTGTCTGAGCCTGCTGTGAGTGTCCTCGAATCGGCGGAAACAGTGTTTGAGCATACGGTCAAGGTGTCAGAGTTATCATTGTCATGATTTGAGTTAGTTATATTTTCTTCATCTTCCGACGCCGTCTCGGCCTCTTCACAATTTAAAAGACTAGTAGCTATTTCGAGCAAACCGATATGTCCCTGGGGCACTGCGCGCAAATTCTCGTGAGAGTATTTATAAGTTCTCTGAGAACCATCTAAGCTTTTAAGTTCATAGCGATCATTTTCAAGTACTTCTACTATAACATATGGGCCTCGAAACTTCCTATCCAATTTCGTTTTATTCCGTTCACAATTTTTAATAAATACAAAGTCTCCTTTAGAGAAAGGTCTTATTGTGGCCCGGCCACGATTAAACCGAAGGGTATCAGATTCAGCAGCTTTGCAAATGTTAGCTGATGCATCAGTTCTTATCGAATCTAAATCTAAGCGAACCTCATGATCTATATTATCGGCGTTCAACTTACACATTCCTAAAGAATTGGAACGAATTCCAAACATTAGTTCTGACGGTGAGTATTTGGTAACGGAAGATTTAGAACTATTGAGAGCAAGTTGGATGTTACCTAATTCGTCACGCCACACTTTGTTAGGGTCGTTTTCAATGATAGTAAGGAGGCTTTTAAGAGTACGCATCACCCGTTCAACCTGGCCGTTTGCTCTACTCGTACCAGTCGCTATGAAATGGAGGTCTATTTTATGCTCTTGACAAAAGCTCTTAAAATCTGAGCTTATGTAGCAACGGCCCTGATCTGCGATGATTCTTTTCGGGGCTCCAAAAAGACACACCGCTTTTTGTACGGCATATATTGCACTCTTGGAATCGACTGACAAAGTATGTTCGAGTAAAACGTATTTAGTAAAGGCATCGATTATCACAGAGCAATACTCTTTTCGGTCACTCTTCCCGCTCAGCTTCCCCGAAAAATCTATGTGAATCGTGTGCCAAGGCACGGATACTTTTGGAATCGAATGAAGCTGAACAGGCTGAGCACCTGATGGACCTTTCGATGCCTTACAAATGATACACGAATCTATAAATTTTCGTACACATTTAGACATATCGGGAAACCAATACTTTTCATACAGCTTGTCTAGAGTTTTGTCCCTGCCTAAATGTTGCATTTCGTTGTGGACATGGTTAATTAGTGTCCAAATTAGAGACCGTGGAACTACGGGTAGCCATGAAACCGCTTTGTTACGAGTAATCTTCCTATAAAGTATACCATCTCTAACGTCATACGTTTGGCCTACTGTTTCGGGAAAGCTATTATTATTATGTTTTGCGATAAGATCCTGAATTTCTGCGTCGCGTTTCTGTTCAACTGACAGCCAGCCTTGATGTAGTTCAACATAATTGACAGTTTTAGGCTTAGGCTTTACTGGAGTGATGGGAACGGCAGAATCTGACAGTGGATTTCGGGACAGGTAGTCAGCATGTTCCATTTTACTTCCTTCGCGGTACACAATGTCGAAATCGTAAGCTTGTAAATAAGCCCACCATCGGTAAACGCGGGGTGTTAGGTCTTTCTTTGATTTCGACGCCTTGAGTGAATTGCAGTCGGTAACTACAACAAATCGCCTACCATATAAATAATGGCGAAAATGCTCTACAGCTCTGACGACCGCTAAAGTTTCTAACTCGTATGAATGATAACGAGATTCCGCGTCTGCTGTACGCCGGCTATAATACTCAACAACGTGTGGAAGATTATTTTTCTTTTGCAGAAGGATTGCTCCATATCCTTCTGAGCTAGCATCTGTATGTAGCTCCACCGGAAGTTCTGGGTCGAATATAGTTAGCACCGGTTCGGACGTGAGAATACCTATAATTTTGCGCCTTATTTTTTCATGTTCGGTAGTCCAGGTAATTCGTCCTTTAAGTTTTGTGAGAGGGTATAGTGGACCGACTATACGTGTGAACTCAGGAATAAATTTCCGAAAGTAGGAGGCTAGACCGAGAAATTGGCGAACATTAGTAGCAGATTTAGGTTCCGGGGCATCTGCTAATGCCTGAATCTTCCGTGAATTGGGCCTAATCTCACCGGATTGTACAGAATATCCTAGGTAGTCAATCCGTTGTTTCATAAATTTACATTTCTTTGTATTGAACGTAAACCCGGCTTCTGATAACGCACCTAAAACGAGGTCAAGGCGCTTCAGTCCTTCGGAGATGTTAGCAGAATGACATAACACGTCATCCATATAGATAAGTGGTTTATCTTGTAAATGACTAAGAGCCCTTGTGATGCATCTCTGAAAAACTGAAGGAGCATTTCGCAAACCAAACGGCATGGCGAGATACTCGTATTGCCCTTCGTTTGTCACGAAAGCTGTCTTCTCCACTGACTCAGGGTGGATAGGGATCTGGTGGAAGCCAGAAGCCATATCCAAGAGAAGAAATTGGCACCCGTAAGCTGGTCTATTTGTTCCTCGATTCGAGGTAAGGGATAATGTTCAGGTATGGTATTTGAATTTAACTCTCTAAAATCTACACAAAGTCTATCGGAATTATCCTTCTTTTTCACAAGAACGATAGGACTAGCAAATGGAGATGTACTCTCTCGAATCACCCCTGCGTCTAATAGTTTTTGAACCTGTTCCCTAATTATTTGTTTCTCTATAGGTGCTCTTTTATGGGGACATCGCTGCACTACTCTATGGGGATCTACTAATTTAATTTCACATACTCCCGTCTTCACACGCTTGGTAGGTATACCCTCGATAAAGTTATTCGCATATTTGCTCAATATGGAAATCAACATGTCTTTATCCCGTTCCTGCAAATCCGTGTCAATTTTTGAAAAATCTGGGATATCTGATGTCGCGACACAAAGATTAGATTGTTGTTTAGAGTATATAACAAGATTATCATTATCAATTTCTACACTTAACCCCTGATCAAAGATATCTCTACCAATAATTATAGGGTCAGATATAATATTGTCGGAAACTACGTGAAAGAGTAAACTAATCAAGCGATCACCAATTTTAACATCGGCCTGAATTTGAGTCGTACACTGTATATCATCGCCTCCGATGCCGCTCAGATAGACGAGACTTTTACACACAGTACCCAAGAGTTTACCACGATAACCTTCTTTCACAAGAGAACAGGACGATCCGCTGTCAAATAGAAAAGGTACAGACTCACCGGAAGATGTTGTCAAGTTACCCCTTGAAGGACGGTGTTCACATTGGTGGACTTCCTTGGCCGCAGCTTTACCACCGTTTCTTTTATCGGGACAGTTAGTCGTCACATGACCTATTTGGCCACAAGTGTAGCACGTTACATCGTTCTTCCTCTCCAACGGACGGGAAGTACTCGGAGTATCTCGAGGCTCGACTGATCCCAGTGCGTCGCGACGTTTACGGCATTCCGCAAAACGATGTCCTGATATTCCGCAAAAGTTACATCTGCCAGTGAACCTTTCGGTAGCACGAAAACGCTTCGCCTCAGGTTCGTTAGCTTCGACACCGTCTGAACGCCGCTTAAGAGATACGCCCCCCAGAATTCGGAACAATTGAGTGCGAGTTGTGATATTGTGCGCAATCAATTCGCGTCTTATCAGGCTGTCCTTCTGACAGAGCACAGAAATAACGAATCCAGTCACCACTTCTTCAGGCATGACAGCCTTAGGTATCCGTTCGATTAAGTTCCATAAACGAAGAGCGGCTTCCGAAGCTGTCTCCTTAGGTCCTATTTGGAATCGCAATATTTCGTCGAAGTAGTCCTGAAGAAGCTTTGGTTTTGAAAATTTAGCTAAAAGTGTCTGTTTGACAACGCTCCAGGATATTTCATCTAAGTTTAGCTTAGTGATACAGGCAGCCGCTCGTCCTTTTAAAGAGGTAGTAAGAGCCATGAGCAAGTCTATTCCTTCTAAGCGCTTATTATGAACGATTGCTTCGGTAATATTGCACCAACCAGATATGTCACAGTCTGGTTCGTCTGGATTAAACGGTAAGAAATGTGTTGCCTGGTTAGTACTCACAGTTGGCGTTGGCTGAGCTGCGAGAACACGAGATAAAAGCATTTCCATGTTATTCAGCAATTTTTCTGCATCCGGTTTTAGTGTTTCTTGCTCAATTCTAGCCCCATCCAATCCCACTTCTGATGTAGGGCGAGGATGGCCTTCATCAGAACTCATCTTGTGTGATGTATGTAGGTAGTTGGCAAAATCACAAGTCCTTATTATAATCACAGTTATTTAATCAGCACAGGGTTTAATAATTGAAGTACACAGTCTAATGATCAATTTATAGTCCAGTCAACGCGATACTAACTTAAACATTAAATTTAATTACGAATGAAATTCAAAGCGATTCGTCGTAAGCGTGGTGAGCGGGCGCCGACTCGAAAAACAACCGTCTCAAGATGGCCGCCATCACAACCATCGACAATGACGCTTCGCTAGGCTGACTTTTAACAGCTTAAAAATCAACCTGACCTCTAACGTTGACGGATGCGCCGTCATATAATTTTTCATTGTGTTTTCTTATTTTGGCGCCAATAAATTGTTCAATATTTTGCGATATTAAAATGGAGTGGGGTGATAAAGAGAACCGAATCGCTGTGATTGCATTACACGAAGTGGGTATGGAGCCAAATGCAATTTTTAAAACTCTCCACACGCTTGGCATTAGTCAAATGTTTGTGTACCGGGCTATTAATAGGTACAATGAGACCTCCTCTGTTTGTGACAGAAAAAGATCTGGCCGTCCACGTAGTGTTCGTACGAAAAAGGTGGTCAAAGCAGTAAGGGAAAAAAGTCGAAGAAATCCTGTCTGAAAGCAAAAGATTTTATCTCGGGAGATAACACCTAGAACCATGTCGCGTATTTTAAAAGACGACTTCGCGTATTTTAAAGGTATCAAAACATCGGCACAAGTTTATTAAAATACCATTCTTGAGAAGGTAGTTAAGCCCCTTAACAACACCATGTTCAATAACCAACAATGGTCCTTCCAGCAAGACTCGGCGCCGGGTCATAAAGCTCGGTCCACGCAGTCTTGGTTGGAAACGAACGTTTCCGACTTCATCAGAGCTGAAGACTGGCCGTCGTCTAGTCCCGATCTTAATCCGCTGGATTATGATTTATGGTCAGTTTTAGAGAGTAGGGCTTGCTCTAAACGTCATGATAATTGGACTCCCTAAAACAATCCATACGATTGGCAGTGAAGAATTTTCCCATGGAAAGAGTGCGTGCTTCTATTGATAACTGGCCTCAACGTTTAAAGGACTGTATTGCAGCCAATAAAGACCACTTCGAATAAGCTTTTTATGTTTTAAATTGTTTTATATTTATGTATTAAACTTACATACTGTAAAAGTAATAAATGTTATTTGCAAGAGAATTTTTTTTTTATTATTTTTTACTGTATTTATGGCTAGACTAGGTATTTAAGACTAAATCAGGAAAGAATATCTTTGAAACCATTTTAATTCTTTTATTGACAACATTTCTATTATAAAAGCGGTATTTAGACATCCACGCCAACTCCGTATAAAAATTCCTACATAGTATAAAACAAAGTGGCTTTCTCCTTTATTCTTTTTTTCTTACATCCATTAAATTCTGGAGAAATTAAGTATCAGTATTTCACCCATATGGATTGACGGACGGTTCGGTAGTTTCCAATAAAAACCTAACTGTGACTTACGGGAATAAATTAAGATGTTTTCTTTGAGAATTTATCGTTACCATAATCAAAAACTTCAATCAATCAAAGACAGAAGAAAATTAATGTCCCGTCATGAACAAATAAATAATTCCTAGTAGTCCTAAACAAACCAGTTTATATAATTATGAAAAATAGGTATAAAAATCAAAAGAGTTTTTATTCCACAATAATTTTCTTAAATTCAATGTCTATCAATGATTTATTGAATCTATACAAAACCTTTAGAAATCCTAAAATCATTCACTGTATTTGCGGGGTCATTAAAAATGTTAATGGTTATAGACCTTTTATGGTGAATCTATTGAGGATACATAATATAAAGAGGCTTTCTAATTGCTTTATAATCTCTCCTGAATTTTGCGTTAAGGTTTAATTAGGTTTCCATATTGAAATATTGACTGTCTTATTATGAGCTGGACCTGTAAGCACCAATGTGAATTTTTTGAAGGTTTCACATGTATTTTTTAAATGTATTTGGATACCATTGACAAACGGTGAAGGAAAATAAAGTAAGGAAACCTAGATTGTAATTTGCAATAATTACAAGTTTGAAATCGCCAATCCACCTTGAGCCAACGTTGTGATTAATGTTCAAACCTTCTTCATGTGAGGAAAGGCCTTTGCCCAGCAGTCAGCACTTGTGGCTGTGACTGAAATATTATGGAAAGTCTTCAAACGACTCCCTCCAGTCTCGGGCGAGGAGAGTGAGAGAGAGTAAGACTTTTCTGACTAGAAACCATCTCTGTTCAATTCCTTGCCAGAGCCAAGTCATAAATTATTGTGCTTTACTTGCAATATTAGCCTACCTGTTTGAATTCAATGTTGAAACTAGGAAGGTTATTAGAAAGTTAAGTTATTAATGAATATTTTCCAAGTGGGAAGTTTCGGGCAGTCCAACCGAAAGCACAAAAATATTGATTCTAAAGGGAGATGTGGGTGTATGTGGTTTAATGGTATGTCTCCTTATGTTATATTGCTGGGGAATAATTTAATAACAATAATAATTTACTCACTCTCTATGCGAGTTAGATTCAGGGTCATCGGGGTTGCGTAGGCGCAGGTTCTTGCGGATGTCAACGGTCTCGTTTGAATGGCGGCTCACTGACAAACCACCAGGTAACAGCATTGCAGTCTCATCTGTTAATTATAAAGAAAAAACAAAATTCAATATAGTTTTTATAAAAAGCAGTAAAAGATAAAAATGTGCTCAGCCCAGGTAGGGTATACCGCCACCGTATCCTCTAGGTGGTCCTCATAATGACGACAATACGAACCTACCGAAGCTGCCGTGCCCGGTAAGCACTTGCGTCACGCGGAATTTGAGGACGTCGTGATTGTTAGGTATGCATGAACTCCGTCTACAAACAATAACTGTCATCAAACACATGTGCCCCTGAAAAGCACCCTTTTCCAACTGCTTCTCAGAGCCGGGCCGTTCCTTTTCTTGCCAGGCTGAGGCTGCGGTCAATTATTGTGTTTACTCGGCAGCCCGGATTTCATAATCCTTTTTATATCCCATCCCTCTTGTAACTCAAAATAGCAAATCTAAAACTTTAATTCAAATTTCAGAAGCCTTCGAACCTACATTAATGATGCCAGAATGAATAATCGCGTTCCTAACAACTCAATCGACACTCATCAGGAGATGTAACAGCTAATTAGAGTTTTCCATTTGGTTTCTGGGCATTCATTAATCAATTTAAAAATGAATGTATCAATCTCTCGTAGCTAGCACACATGTTCCAAACAAAACACAAGACAATGTCATTTCAAGTCCATCCAACTTTTTTTTATGTTTTTGCCACAAAGCTAGTATTTTATCCTGTACTAGCTACTCTCACGCGGTTTCACCCGCTGCTCTGTTCCTACAAATCGTGGAGTGATTTTTAATTCAATGCAATTCAATTCATTTGTTTCCATTACACAATGTTTAATATAGTTGGTAAGGTGTATATGAGATACAATTGTGGACCCTTACAACAGTAGCCTAAGCCTTCCTCAACAAATGGACTAACAAATAAAAAAAGAATTGTTTAATTTTAACCTGTAGTTCCAGAAACTCTTCTGCTTTATAATATTAGTAATAGTATAGATAGTGAGTGCATTTAGAAACATACAATTTCATATACACATCATACCCAGACCTAGAAAAACGATTTGTAGGTCACATCGTCAGTTCCCTGTGAGAATAGCACTCGCGAATCTCTGTTCGGCAGTCAGTTGTCCAGCCAACCGTCTACTGTATAGTCATTATATGTATGAAAATGGTATATAAAAACTGTCTGAACTCACCTCTCAAGGGCACATCGCTATCCGCAGAGCACCCTGTGTGTTCCTGGCACGCTCGTCGCTGCACCAATGAGGGGCAGTGTCTGCCACCGTGCGCAGGCGCCTGTACCACGCGGCGGCTGCGCACCATGCTGCCAGACCCACAGTTGGTGTCGCAGTCCGACCATGGCCCCCAGCCAGATACCACGCAGTCGATTACTGAGGACAAAGATAATATATATGTTATATTTCAGATGAAAAAAGTATTAAAATATTTACAGCATAAATATGTAGAAAAAAAATCTTTATAGTTAGTTGGTGGCCCAAAAGATTAGTAGAAATGTCTGTCATTATTTGTGACCGAAGAAAATGTATAATAGAAGCATAATTATTATTTTTACACAGAATAAATAAAAATATATAGTTGTGTTGCTCGTGCTCTTTCCACAATTGACAATACAATTTGGAGGAGTGCCTGGCCAACGTCTTAAGCAACAAAAATAGAATATAAATGTAAAAATACTTGACCTTTCGTTTATACAATATATGAACTTTTCTCATATAAAAATGCTTTGATCAAGATACAAAGTTGAATAGTATTAAAACAAATGTTTATTAGCTGTCGTACTAAATTGACGTCTAGACATCCCTTTTTATCTTTCAGTGTGAATACTGTCACTATATGTATATAACTGAAAAACAATGTAACTATCATATTTAGTTGCCTAGTTGTTTGTAAAGGTTGCGTTTGCGATCACTCGCTAGTGTGTGTGACTTTTGAGCTCCCTAGTCCAAAATTTCGATTCCCAAGGTCAAAAATATTTTTTTTAGTTTTGTAATTTCTACAGTTTTAATATACTTAAGGAAACTATTTTATATGGGATAGCAAGTATCAACTGATGGTAAATGCAATTGTCTATGAACAACAGCAACACCAGACAAAAATAGAATGGATAGCCTTAGCGGCGTGTTGTGACATAACTCACACAACGACATAAGCATAATTTTAGACAGAAGACCCATCCGTGCCAAAGCTCGGCATCTAAGAAGGTATCGAATTGATATTCTTTCTTCATTGTATTATGGTAATAGGCTCATACACGGAGACTGTAACATAACTGGTGAAAGATAGGTTGATATTATGTATACTATACTTCTGCTGACTCTAAAGATGGTGATGGAGCGCGTGATGATCATCAGCCACCGTAAACGTAGGTCTGCGGAGACGCAAGGGTAGCTGGCCGCCTTACCAGAACCCGTATGGTGCGTAGAGTTCGACGATCTCTACCCCAGGGCGATTTTGTGATTATCACCCCTGAATAAAAAACTGCTCACACCTTCGGAGTAAGCAACCTAATTACAATTTCTCTATGTTTTACTAAACTATATTATTTTCTATTCGTTGAAGGTGTGTTTAGGAACATCCTGTATCTATTTATAGCTACATCAATTTGCATGGTCTCCTGCTCAGTTCATCGACCTCTACAGAGTAGGCTTCAGATATTTTTATCTCGATAGCTTTACCTTCATCAATCATTTAGTCTATTTTATGAGCAACGAAGAGTTACTTGAGACGTTTAAAAATATATATTCGTTCAAAAAGTTTAAAAATAAAGGAATTTAATTTTTTGGCGTTTGGGTGTAATCATAGAAACTTTTCCCACCCCGGATGGGCGAGAAGTGTTAGTACTGTATTTTTTTTATGGAATATGTCGGCAAACGAGTGCGTTGCCGACCTTTTAGGGATTAGGGTTTTGGAGATTTAGGGATTAGGAGGGATCGGGAGATGGGAAGGATTGGGCCTCCGGTAACCTCACTCACACAGCGAAACACAATGCTGTGGTTTTTTCACGTCGATATTCTATGAGGCCGTGGTATCACTCCGGTCGAGCCGACCTATACGTGCCGAAGCTTGGCTCTACTACACTTATCCTCTGTATCCTCTCCGTTCATCCTCCAGCAACAAAGTGGGCCGCGGTATGTCGCGCTTGCACCTGCAACCGTGGACAGACATCAACCTTTGACGGCTCCATGGTATTCTGATAGTTCTTTGAAGAGCGAGCGAAACGCATCGTGTGCGTCAAAAATAGAATTTCTTACATTTCTTATTGCACTTTCTATGCTTCCTGCAATGGATTGGCTAACAAGCACATTATAATACTATGCACCCATGTCATATCGTAATAATAGGTACCCGTTATTCCGTATATATATATATATATTTTAAAACAATCATAAAAGCCAATAACAGTTTGGACGACCCGGAGTTTTCCCTAATCAACTTGGTTGACGATCTCACTTGTTCAATACTCTGCCAAAAAAACAGTCTATTGACAACTTAAAAGTTTCAATACCACAATCAAATTTGTAATATTACTATTAATTATTGATAAAATATTTGCAAATAAAACTAAGTACTTTCAATCTATCAATCGACAAACCAAATTGTTGAACCCAACTTGATACAGACCGAAATATCATTAATTAATTACCTTTGATTCATTCACTAGTTGAGTGTGATTATACTACAAATATATACACTGCACAAAATAGTAGGAACATAGGAGACTAGCTTTTCCAGTATGCTGAAAACCCATTTTTTATCAGTCATTAAATGACTTTTTTAGCACTGGATGCAGTGGGAGAGTTTATCAGACTCTTACTGACTAAAAACCATCTCGTTCCTTCTCCTACTCTAGGCCTCGGTATAATATTGCGGTTGACACACAACCCTTGCCATGTGAAAATCCATTTCGAAAAAACTTTAAAACTATTTATTTTCTACCTTAAGATATCAGTGTTTTACTGAATGTCTCATTTATTCAGTTGGTCTGCAGTACCACTGTGAAGTAAATTATCTGGGGTGCGATTTATGGGTTTGGCAAAGTAATCCACCTTTTTATAATAATACGATAGGCAAGCAGACGGATTACCTTATGGAGAGCAATCAGCGCTGTTCATGGACCCGCAACAACGGAGGAGTCACGAGTGCGTTGCCGACCTCTTAGCGATTAGGGATTTGAGATTTAGGGGAGGGATTTGGGAAGGGGGAGGATTTACCTTTTGACCTTTTGGATATTAGGAACTGCTTGATTGTAGGTTTGGGGGGAGGGGAAGTATTGAGCATCTGGTAACCTGACTTACACGGCTACGGGCTAAGCACAACGCTGCAAGCATAGTAAGCGTGGCCTTTAATTCTCAAACCCTTTCCGTGTTTGAAGAGACCTTTTGCTTTATAGTAAGTACTAATAGGCTGATGATATGTAGCAAAGTATTTTAGGAATGAGTAATTGTAGGTATGTAGATGCGAAAATTGCTCTAATGCGCTGTGGTATTGCAAATTCCTTGAAACAAAAGTTAGTGAACCATTACCAAATACAACTCTAAATTACACAATAAAACTGATTGATATGAATTTTCTAAAAACGAAAATACAATTAGAATTTCACAATCACTAAAACATAAGACTGCTTCAAAAGCTGCACTACCTACCACTCGAACAAACCAGTCACATTTTATTTATAGTGGCCCAAAAACTCGATGGTACGGTCTATTTGACAAAAAAGGCCTCGAGGCTATCGTGTGGAAATTGTGTATTGAAACACAGCTTCACAGTTACGAGTGTAGTAATATTTTACCATTTCAATACCAATACAATACAATTGAGGACCTTTTTTATTGTATTGTGTTGTATTTGTTAAGAGACGTAAATGAGTGGGACTTGTATTGAGGAATTTAGGACGTCCGTTGAATGCCTAAATGAGTCGTTATTTAGGCTCTAGTCATTTTGAGGGCTCGGAAATTTATTCAGAATACTAAGGACTAAAATTCTCCTAAATTGACCAAGTAATTTATGAATTGAATTAAAATTGCTACGATACGATGCGAGCCTTTATTATTTACTGTTATTATTTATTTATACATTTAGAACAATGAACTTTAAGCATCTAAAGAAAACATTATTACGTAAATATAGATCACATTTTTGTTTTGGGGATGGAAAATAATGAAATTTTTTTTCGGCCAAGATGAAATAAGAAAAAGTACCAGACTCCTCAGAACAACCCCGTTCCTTCTCCTGCTATTATTTGATTGTATAGTATAGCGTTTGTTTTTTTTTACTTCTGCCCAGGCTGTGGCCAGAAGGATTGTCAGACTCTTACTGACTAAAATCCCCCCATTCCTTTTCTCCTGCTTATGCCGCTAACCACGCAAATCTGGCTGATTATTGCGCTTGCTTTCCCCGGCTACTATTTGAAAGTTTATATAGAAATCCGTGACGCTTAAATGGTAATAAAAACCCCATTGGCGTTGTGTAAAGCGAGTAGTGGCGAACAGAATTAACGACCGCAGCGCACAACACGGCAGAAATTGGAAACAAATGCGGATGCCCAGCTGTCGGTTTTTATTACTATTTTCATTTTACAGTAAAACTATTGAATAAATTGCACTTAAATAATGTTAACAATAGGTACTATTTTAATCTTTTGTTTTTTTTTTAATATATTTGCAAAGAAAATTATATTTTTTATTACATTATTATTATTTTGACAGCTTCCGCAAATGTCGTAAACGCTACGCGTCGCCACCGTCGCGCACATAGCTTATACATTTATTATGCCTTTTATAAATTAAGATTGCTCTAGTAGTAGGTACTGTTCTCAAGAATTAACCACACAATTCTACAAAGCTAACTGCAGTTTGCGAATCAGTAACGACTGTTCTGTTCAAGTCGGTACCGAATCGAATCTCCGGACGGCTTCAAGTTTTAAAGCTGAACTTTGCACTCTGATTTCTCTACGGGCAAATACTAGAGAGTTGTGTAAAGTTAGCTTTTTTTTTAAAAAAGAGTTCTTGCTTTCTGTTTCGGTTATTAACCTTTCAAGAAGTACTGCATTGTACAGGTTTGATCCCCGCTTCATATTTTCGCCATCGATCCACGCGAAAACACTACCATCCCTATTATGGAGATGGTTGGCAGTCAACAATGGTGCGATTTCCGCGACACTTTATGCCTCACATAGTAAAACTTTTGAATGATTACCGGCGGTATTTTTCAACCGGTACGGTACCTTCAAACCTTCAAGAAACGAGTGTTCTACTTCCTTAAAATGAACAGCAAATTTATGTTAACTTATTTAAGATACTTATGTGTAATTTAATACTTTATGTCTGCACACGTTGTAATTGTAATGTATATATTAGCTTAAACGTGAGGT